CTAACCATCGATTATTATCATCTCGCGGACCCCAACCAGGTAGTCGACAACTACCGACATGACTCAGTTCATTCGTCAATGATTTCATGGATTTCTGCCATGTTTTGGTTTGGCCGCCCCTTAACTTTCTTCCAACCTACTCCTATAGTACAAAACAAAGCTGTTCGAGGCTGTCGGTGGTTAGGCATACGCCACACATGTCCCAACCACCTCAACTGATGAAGTTCAATTACTTCATCAACTGATCTTCCATTCTTACCTAGCACCCGTGTCCTAATAACAGCGTTGCTCACTCAGGTGTTCCACGATATAAGAGCAATGCTTCGAAGACAATAGTTAAGGTTGAAGATCAAACAACGAAACTCAAGTAATAAAGACACTTAATATTTGATTGCTGAATATAATCAGCTTCAATATCACAAGAATTTACATTTCTCAACATCAAACAGTAGCATAAAATAAATAAATATCTGATATTCATTTGACTTTTATGATTATATATTTGGAAATGACCTTATAAACCGAAAAGCAGTCTTCCAACATAATCTTGAAACTATGGAGTTGGGTTAAGGTATCATCAGGTTTATTAGATAATGTACTATAAAGTACAATTAACAATATATAGATTTAGCATCCTTGAGAATGAAACTACAATACCGATAAGGTTCACTTTATGTGCAGACACTATAAACACAAACTCATTTTAGCGTTTTGTACTGAAGAGCTCTCTCATTCGTATTTAGATACTTTCCTAAGCCAACCAACGTAGGTCAATCAATAAAGAACATTCAAATCGTCAAAGGAAAACTTAGCGTTCGAATTAAACACCTTGAGCGTTATTTATTTCATTGAATCAGTTACTTGAAGCGACTTAAATATTTATACTTTTGTCTTCAACATTACCATAATGGTTGTATACTTAGAATCAAAATAATAAATTTCATTAATGACTAACTCATGGTACTATAAACTTAAATGTTAGCTTATCTTCTATGCTTTCATTGGAATCTAACAATTAGGTATTTTTACAAGAATAGAGAATATGATTCAATCACACTTTTCATAGAATCATTGATCAGTGATCATAGATCACGTTTATTTTGTGTTCATCTTATGTTAAAATTGCCAGTATTATGATAAATACTGAAATTGGCAGAAATGATGTGGTAGGTACATTTTTACATAAGAGTAGTAAGTTAGTTTGGTTTTCAACTCGTTTTATTGTGTTGGCCGGTGTCTCACCAACTTCGTGGCGGTCGGTCTCCGATGCGATCTCAGACTTAGTATGCTGCTCGTCCAGACAACCGTTACTAAATAACGCCATACGGTTTTTATAAGTCAAAAGAAGAAATATGAAGTGTTGAACACGTTTATTTTGTGCACAGCATATACACCACCAAACCGCAGGCATACAACAAAAAACAAAATGAGAGTGCCGAACGGCAAACAAGCGAATTAGCGAGTAAGCAAATCGGCGAATGAATAAATAAGATTACTAAATGTGCATTTGTAAACACATAGGAAAATGGATAAGTCATCGAAATATTGAAGAGTCTAATATTAAAGCGAATAGGATGAATATGTACGTAGGCGGTAAGCAATATTCTGTCGTATTAGCTCATACAAAGCCGACAATCATCAAGACCAATGATGCATATAAGTTATTGCAATAAAATGACTCAGTTAAATTAGTTAATCAAAAGGGCTTAACCAAATTAAGTATGAACAAACTCAAATTTGGAGGTACTACAATATTACCTAGCACTATTAGGACAAGAACTACAAAATTCAATTTTTTTAAGTTATATCAAGTCATTGTAATAAAAAAAATCAACAATATACGTGAAATCTAGTGTAGTTGCTTCTCTCGTCTTCGCCAGTTCGTTAAAACTCTTCTTTAAAGATAGATTAATATGATTTAAAACCAATGTTGAATAGAGGTAGCATTTAGTGCTAGTCAATCTCGTTAGCAAGTTAATTAAAATTTATAATAAAGTACATATTGTTTGATTTTCTCCTGCTTTTACGTTTCAACAAAAAAATCTAATCAACTGTTTGCAATCGATAAATAATACCTACACATATTTGTATGTTTCGAAATGTAATATAGTTAGTTGAAGAACTTGAGTCACAGTTCTCTGTTCAACTAAATTGTTCTTACGAAAGGCAAATTCAACTGAATCTTTACAATAGATAAATTTCATTGTATGTGATTTTCGTTACCTCAAATAATCTGGTTTCTACTTCATGGTAACCTGTTACTTGCTTGAGCTACCAATTAAAATGGTTTAGAGTAGAAAGTAAGAAAAAGATATCTTCATGATATTGTGTATCATGTGAGGTAGATTATGTATTTGAAATCATCAATCAATCATTGTTAGATGACAAACATTAGAAACCTGGAAGCACTGAAAGACGGTCGTTTCGTCCTGGTATGGGACTCGTCAGCAGTGCGCATCCACGACTCCTGCACCCTGCAGGATTCGAACCCGGGACCTTCGGCATTGTAGGCGAACGCCTTACCATCGGACCACTGGGCCGGGTCCGAATCCTGCGAGGAGCAGGAGTCGTGGATGCGCACTGCTACTGATGAGTCCCATACCGGGACGAAACGGCCGTCCAGTGCTTCCACGTTTCTAATGGTGGTCTAACAATGACTGATTGATGATTTCAAATGTGAAAAGAACGCAAACCTCCAAAACTCTGCCCCAAAATAGATGATGTAATCGCAAAGTATTTTAATTGAGTACATTATTGATAAACGATCTATTGAGTCACAAGTATTTGAATCAATTTATTTTGATGATTTTATTTGTCACAGGTTTCGTTCGCTATGACTATTCATTTATAAAATCAGTGTGAACGTTTACTAACTATATTTCCCCTTTTATCTATATAAGTTATTAGGTTGGATTTGTGGTGTGTTTCCTGTCTAAAAACAATAGTGAAAGCTTTTATATAATTAAACTATTTAGTGTGGAGAATATAATATCAATAAAGATATCCATTTGAGATGTGTATATATGTATAGTTCTAATGATTATATCATTATATGGTTATTTGTTTTGTTCAACAACTTTTAGCTCATATTTTCCATTGTTCAATAAGTCTTGTTATCAACTGAACAAAAAGATAAATAACTGTTGTTTTTTTATCCAAAATAATAATAGTTAGTCCATTATTATTATTATTATTATTATTATCAATCTCTTCATCATCACTAGTACATAGATGATTATTATTGTTGTTAGTATTAAAAGCAGTAATTGTCGAACTTATCTATTCAACTTATGATTTCAAAGACTTTGCTAAAAATGTTGTTTAGTTGACTGCTCAGTCGAAAATTATGTTTTCAATGATCGGTTTAAACAAATAGGAATCATTTATTTTTTTCAATTCGCAACTGTAGTACAAATCTGCTTCAGTTACTAACTTACTCCTGTTACCCCCAATGGAGCATAGGCGGCCGCCTACCAGTTTTCTCCAACCAACTCTGTCCTGGGCTTCCCTTTCCAATTCTGTCCAATTTTTGTTCATTCCTCTCATATCTTCTTTCTCTAAGTGAGTGAGGATTTGTACCTAAAAGAATGGTTGCTCTGTTTGTCAGAAGAGGCATCGCCCCCGTGACTTCCGAGGGAACTCGACTTTCATCAAGCGACGTCATAATTCTTCTTGCAACGCCCAGGGCAGAGTTAAAATGGTTTGAATTATTTCCTCTGGTTAGCGTTTTGTTTTTGGCAAGTTAGTTTTTTGACGGGATGGAGTCGCCAACTCCCCATGCCCAACCCAACATCCAGGCTTGAGATCGACAGTAGCTCCGAAGTGTCTACAGACGGAGTTACTTCAGTTAGAACTACTGTAAAAATCAAATTCACTAATTTTATTACTTACCTAACAGACTCTTTCGAGGTGAAGACCGGTGTCAGGCAAGGTTGCTTACTCTCACCCTTTCTCTTTCTCCTGGTCATCGACTGGGTTATGAAGACGTCGACATCTGAACGGAAGCACAGTATCAACTGGATAGTTAGGACGCAGCTGGACGATCTGGACTTCGCAGATGACCTGGCTCTTCTATCGCACACTCAACAACAAATGCAAGAGAAGATGACCAGTGTAGCAGCAGCCTCTGCAACAGTAGGTCTCAACATACATAAAGGAAAAAGCAAAATTCTCCGATGCAACACAACATGCACCAACCAAATCACTCTTGATGGAGATGCCTTGGAGGACGTTAACACCTTTACATATCTGGGCAGCATCATCGACAATCAAGGTGGATCCGATGCAGATGTGAGGGTGCGGATTGGCAAAGCAAGGGCTGCATTTCTACAGTTGAAAAATATCTGGATTTCCAAACAACTTTCAACCAAAACCAAAATCAGGATTTTCAATACAAATGTGAAGACAGTTCTACTGTATGGAGCGGAAACATGGAGAACTACCAAAGCCATCATCCAGAAGATACAAGTGTTTATGAACAGTTGTCTACGCAAAATACTTCGTATTCGTTGGCCAGACACGATCAGCAACAACGTACTGTGGGAGAGAACAAACCAGATTCGAGTGGAGAAGGAAATCAGGAAGAAGCGGTGGAAGTGGATAGGACACACACTACGAAAAGCACCTAACTGCATCACAAGACAAGCCCTCACATGGAACCCTGAACGCAAAAGGAAAACAGGAAGGCCAAGGAACACAATACGCCGAGAAATAGAGAAAGATATGAGAGGAATGAACAAAAATTGGACAGAACTGGATAGGGAAGCCCAGGACAGAGTAGGTAGTGGAGAAGACTGGTGGGCGACCTATGCTCGATTGGGGGTAACAGGCGTAAGTAAGTAAGTAAGTAATATGGGTATTAAGTAGTCTATTTACTAGGACATTTTTTGATAATTTCATTTTCATGATTGAATTGCTCTTAAGAACCATGTGATAATAATTTTATATTTTTGTAATAAGAAGGTTTATTGGCAATGAATCGTTTGTTTGTTTTTTCTAAGTTAAAACAGGTTACAGTTTAGTTGTGGCCAATGCACAGCATGAAACTTTATCAAATATAATCGGACCACAAATGTACTCATTTGGTCCTGTAGATCATTTAAATCATAAATTCAAAATATCTGAAGAAGTACTACAACATGATTGTCATTATCATGATAACATTTTATTGAAAAGAAAATTACCGAATAAGAAAAATCATTTTTTTGATGGTTGGCGATCAAATTCTTATTCTAAATTATGGTTTGGTGAAAATGTTAAATTTCTTTCAATTAAAAATATAAATTCTAAATATTTTTATATTATATTTACTGAACAAGATATTAATACACCGTATGCTGCCTATGAAAGATCAGTAAGTGAATAATTTTCACTGTCTAATATTCATCATCATTACATTTTTATTAAATTTTTGATTTTACTGTAGTTTACTGTTTACTATAGTTTAACAGAATCATTTAAGAAAATAAATAAGTTGTATAGTTTATTCAATTTGAGGTTGAATTATACTAGAGATTGATTTCAAATTGAAAAAATGTTGGAAGTCAAGAAGCAATCAAAAACTATTTTTGGTTTTTATTGGATACTACTTCTCAACAGTATTCACCGGGAATTCAATCTGAGAATGGATTCATGACGATTTCAGATATTCTATGTTGTTATATTCTTATTTATTTCTATACTAAACAGTAAAACATATTGGATTTGGTAAAAATGTGCCAGGTAGACCAACTTCACTTAGCACTGCATCCGTAAGTTCAGAACTATATTCATACACCAGTTATATTGTAGTGAAGGAGAACACATGTGAGAGCAACCGAATTGTATTTATCGCAAATTACAGAGTTACTCAGTAAAATAGGAAAAACATATCGTAAACCGGTAGTTTGCGGAACATCAACCCATTGTCTGACATTTCACTTATTCATGCGTTTCATACAAATTCGATTGTGTTCCCACTGTTCTTTTCTTGATGTTCTCCCATCTTCTGCTGCCAGACATTACGTTTTCACTCGCACCATTTACTACTTATAAGTAGCGCACACCACAATATGTGTGATGAATTAGAAAAAAAGGAGAATATATGCGAGTATGAAATATACTTTTAGTATTGACACTTTTTATACATAAATTACTGTAGAATGAACTACTGAGTCGAATATATTCTCTTAGCTAGACAGCATAGATAACAAAAAATTAAACTACCTATGTAGTTTACTTTAAGATCTAGTTATCCACCTACCTACCTATCTATATGTTTATGAAAGTAAAGTCAACAAGTAAAAATAATTTGTCCCACTTAACAACAGAAATGTTGAATTGGTTCAGTTGTAGAACATTTTCCATATTCAGCAGAGGGAAATACACTTAAACAATGTATATTTTTATAAATGAAACGCTTAATGAATTACATTTGAGAACAGTCTTCAAAAATTAAAATTATTTATTTGTTTTACTATAAATCAATGAGAAAAACAATAAAGATTCATGCGAAAAAGAATAGAAATTCAGTTCATAAATCAAATTAGTAAAGTTAATTCATCAGTTTAAATCTTTTTAATTTCAAGTTAACTAACTGATCACAATATAAAACTCACTAATAATGCCAATTTAAAAAGAAATCACCATTGTTATGTAGTGAAGGAGAACACAAGTGAGGGCAACCTAATTGTATCTAACGAAAATTACAGAGTTACTCAGTAAAATAGGAAAACCATATCGTAACTGTTAATTTGAAAATCTTCAATGCATCATCAATCCATTGTCTGACATTTCACTTATTCATGCGTTTCATACAAATTCCGTTGGGTTCCCACTCTTCCTTTCTTGATGTTCCCCCATCTTCTGCTGCCAGACATTACGTTTACACTCGCGTCATATACTACTTATAAGTAGCGCGCACCACAGTATATTTCTGCATCTTGATTAGAAATATCCAAAAAAACATTACTGACTAAAGTCAACTTTAATATTTCTAAAATAAAAAAGAATTCAAATTTCAACTTGAACAGAAATAAAAGTGTATATATTTCAGTTAAAAATTACCTTTAAAAAAATAAAAGTTAAAACATTTCTCATTTCAAATGATCAATTAGAATAGTTAGAATCAAACCTATTGGTATCAATATCAGAAAAGCAAAAACCTTCAACTAGAAACAATAGATGATGAATTGTTTTGGAAATACAATGTTGACTGCTTCATGTAATACATACATACTACTACTACTCCTACTCCTACTACTACTACTATTATTATTACTACTACTACTACTCCTACTACTGCTGTCATTGTTAATATTATCCTTATCGCTAATTAATCATGATTACTTCTTTTTTTGTTTTTACAGTTATCAGAAAAAAATATATAACAATTGTACATTGTTTGAACGAAAATATTTACAAATGATACAATAGATTATTTAAAAAATGTTGTCTTGTATTATTCAACTAATAAATTTGTAGTTTTACAATTTGAGCAATAATTCATTTATGTTCTGTCAACAACACAGAACTTCGTACGGACGTACGTACATCTCAGTTCAAGTTGTCATACTACATTAGCACAGAGATGCGATTGTCAATTCAAATCCCATACAGAGGTAGAGGTAGTAAAAGTATTAGCAGTAATCGGAGAGATCAGGGTTCGAAGATATGTGATTCAAGAAGTAGAATCTAGTGAAATAAACTTAAAAGAAAAGGTATGCAGGTGATGAGGAATTCAGAAGGTTAGGATTTGACAGAACACAAAGAATGGACTCACCCGCATCAAACGATTTTGAGCCATTTCATTCATAGTGTCTTACCATCAGTTACTTTCGTCTTATGGACCCCAACACCTACCAACATGACGCAGTCCACTAGTCAGTAACTTCATGGATTTCTGACATGTTTTGGTCTAGCCACCCCTAGGTTTCGTCCAACCTACTCCTACACTACAAAACAGAACTCGTCCAGTCAGTCGGTGGTTAGGTATTCGCAACACATGTCCTAACCACCTTAACTGATGAAGTTTCACCACTTCATCTATTGATCTGCCAACCTTACCTAGGACTTGTTTTCTAACAACATAATTACTTACTCGGTTTTCCCAGAATACACGAGCAATGCTTCGGAGCAGAGTGAATAAAAACATTCCAAATGTCTGTGTTATAGAAAACAACATATCTATCTATTTCTACTCTTAACTTGTAACAGAAAAAAAAAGATAATCTTAAAGGCGGCATTGGTTAAACACTACACACTTATATTGATAATGTTAATTAAACTGACAAGAGAAATTTAAGAATAAAGTAATCAAGTCATTTTAGTATCCATAGAATTGTTGGTTTTTTTTTATAAACAGATTGCCAGTTACAGCATGTATATGGTTTAAGTCAAGACAATAACTACTGGTGATGTATAAGTGTCACAATGGTACAGATCATATTGCACGTTATTCTCAGCATCAATTCTTCCTCATTAATGTTAATATAACTGATTATCTCAGTTTCTTAACAGTTCTTCGCTAAATTAATTTCGTTTCATGTTGCTAACTTGGTATTGTAATTTAGGCCAGACAAAACTTATTACGTTACCCTCTACATTAATATAATGATCGATAAATGTAGTTGTTGTTTGATCAGTAGTATTGTGGTGTGAGCTACTTATAAGTAGTATATGACGTGGGTGTAAACGTCATGTCTGGCAGCAGAAGATGGGGGAACATCAAGAAAGAAAGAGTTAGAACACAATGGAATTTGTATGAAACGCATGAATAGTGACAATGGATTGATGTTTTGCAACAGGAACAGTCCAGTTCTATATGATGGACTGATATTTTGCAAATGAACGATTTACGATGTGGTTTTCCTATTTTAATGAGTAACTCTGTAATTTTCGTTAAATACAATCCGGTTGCCCCACCTGTGTTCTCGTTCACTACAATATTATTAAATGAAACGATTTCAGAAAAAGTAAATACTATTATTAGTATAATTTCATACTAATCGATCACTAATTTTTCTTCTGTCATCACTTGAAATTTTTCAATGTTTTCATTTATTCTTCATTTTTCAATTTTATTGTTGACATGTCTTTTAAGAGTAATGAGAGAGAAGAAAGAAACAAGAAAAAAAAATTCTTATAAAATTTGAAATAAATTTTAATTTACAATATGAATTTTGAAAAAAAAATGGTTAATTTACAGACAAAAATTTTAATCATCATTACTGTGACGTGATAATAACATATTTGGTTATACAAAAACACACAAGAAGAAGGAGGATCGACACTGTACTAAGATGAGATGTAATACATAGACAATCTAGCAGCTAGATACAAGCCGACATTCCAGGAATAATGCTTTTCACTCGATAGAATTCGTTATTGTGAATGTGAATGAAGACAATTTAGTTGAAACAACATGATTGATAATTACTGTATTAAATAGTAAATATTACTTACATTGAATGTGTGTATAAAAAAACAATTAGAGTGAATAATTTGATGCTCTGCGTTATTTCAACTCGAATTTAGAAACTTTAATTAACTAACAGCTATTGAGTTATTGAGTAGTTTATTTTTTACTATATTTCACGTTAACTTATAATTGATATTTTAAAAATGAATTATTAATGCTAACTTACTTACTTACTTACTTACGCCTGTTACCCCCAATGGAGCATAGGCCACCCACTAGTTTTCTTCAACCAACTGTGTCCTGGGCTTCCTTCTCCAGTTCCGTCCAGTGTTTGTTCGTTCCTCTCATATCTTTCTCTATTTCTAGGCGTAATGCGTTCTTTGACCTTCCTGTTTTCCTTTTGCCTTGAGGGTTCCATGTGAGGGTTTGTCTCGTGATGCAGTTAGGTGCTTTTCTCAGTGTGTGTCCTATCCACTTCCATCGCTTCTTCCTGATTTCCTCCTCCACTGGAATCTGGAATCAGTACGTTGTTGCTGATGGTGTCTGGCCAACGAATCCGAAGTATTTTGCGTAGAAAACTGTTAATAAACACTTGTATCTTCTGGATGATGGCTTTCGTAGTTCTCCAGGGAATTATTAATGCAGCTTTTTGATATTACTGCATAAGAGAATAATTTAATTTTTATTGAATTTTATTTAAGTAGTAAAATGTTTGATAATATTTTTTTTTAAAAAAGAGATAACATTTAATTGAGTGATAGATTATGAAAAAATTTCAGGAATAACATTATATTTGAACAACATTTGAAAATATCTTGACAGTTTCGATAATATTACGATTGCATGATTATAAATATTTTTCAATTCTAAAAAAAATATTTTGAAATATATAAATTCAACAAAGTTTAGTATTTTCAGATAACTCCTTGCTATTTTTAAAACAACTCAGAAATTATTTATTGGTATGAGGTTTATAACCTCAATTACTTACTTACGTCTATTTTCCCCCATGGAGCATAGGCTGCTGACTAGCATTCTACAATGAACTCTGTCCTAGGCCTTCCTTTTTGGTACTGTCTAAATGTTGTTCTATCTCCTTTTGTCTGTCTCCATTTCTCGGCGTAATGTGTTTTTTTGGTATGGTCTTCGTCTCTACCTTTAACCTTGAGGATTTCAAATGAGAGCTTGTCTTGTGACGCAGTTGGGTACTTTTCTCAAAGTTTGTCCTATCCACTTCCACCACTTCTTACTAATTCCCACCTCCGCTGAAATCTGGTTTGTTCTTCCCCACAGTAGGTTGTTGCTGATTGTATCTGGTCAAATAATGAAGAGTATCTTGCGTAGACAACTGTTAATAAATACCTGTATCTTTGGGATGATGGCCTTTGTGTTTCTGCAAATTTCCAAACCATACAGTAGAACTGTCTTGACATTTGTATTGAAAATTTTGACTTCAGTGATGGTTGGTAGTTGTTTTGTGTTCCAGAAGTCCTTTATTTGTAGAAACATTGCCCTTGCCCAATGAAGTTGACGTAGAGTGGTGAATCCCGTTCAATTGATTGTTCTACAATAATCCGTAATGTTATAATTTGGTCAGTACACGGTCGATCCTAATGATATCCAACCTGTTGATCTTAAAGTTGGCCGTCTACGAAGTCTTTGATTCTGTTTAACAAAGGTTTATAATCAGTCCCTCTGAAACAAAGTAGGATGAAGGAAATTACAATGTCTTCTTACAAGGCATGTTGTTCACGAAATTACATCCACATTGATGGATCGATCATGTATGTAGTATTTAAGTTGATAAAATGCGACTAATTATCTAATAAACAACCTTAACTGTTGAAATTTCGTAAAGCAAAAACATTTTGACATTCAAAAATAACATTCAGTTTTATAAATGATCATTACTTACTTACTTACTTACTTACTTACTTACGCCTGTTACCTCCAATGGAGCATAGGCCGCCCACGAGTTTTCTTCAACCAACTCCATCCTGGGCTTCCCTTTCCAGTTCTGTCCAATGTTTATTCATTCCTCTCATATCTTTCTCTATTTCTCGGCGTAATGTATTCTTTGGCCTTCCTCTTTTCCTTCTGCCTTGAGGGTTCCATGTGAGGGCTTGTCTCGTGAGGCAGTTAGGTGCTTTCCGCAGTGTGTGTCCTATCCACTTCCACCTCTTCTTCCTGATTTCCTCCTCCACTGGAATCTGGTTTGCTCTCACCCACAGTTCATGGTTGCTGATTGTGGGAGAGAACAAGTCAGATTGCAGTGGAGGAGGAAATCAGGAAGAAGCAGTGGAAGTGGATAGGACACACACTACGAAATGCACCTAACTGCGTCACGAGACAAGCCAGTAGAACCTTCGGGGCTACTGCGGGTCTCAAGCCCGGATAAAGGAGGACGCTTGGACATGGGGTTGGTGACCCCATTCCGTCGAAATCTAACTTGCCAAAAAAACGCTAACCAGAAAAAAAAATTAAAAAGAAGAAATAGTAAATGATCATAATTCATTATTAACATGTACAATTCAATCATTATTGAAAATAATGTTTCTGTACAGTATTTTTTTTCTTTAATTTATTTAACAAAGCTTCCTAATACTAGAAATACAATAACCCGAATTGGTCGAGTTTGTCAACATGATCCAGGATCAAAATTATCAGCATCAATTTTACCGAATGGTGGTGGAGTATTTACAACTTTTCGAAAAACTCAACTTGTTTGTCGTGCCTATTCATCATCTGATCAATATATCAATGGACAGAAATTAACCAATGAAAAAGACTACTTAGAATTCAGTAGAGCTATTGCTATTAGTGAAATTGTTCCAACTGGTAAATGGGATCGATTATGAATTATCAGTATTTTTAAGGTTTTCTTTATTTTTAATCAGTACAACTGTTGGTTACAACAACTGAGCGACCACTAAATGAGATGATCAATGTTATTTTTACCTAGTTTGTTTATTTCTGATTGACTTGTACTGATTAGCTTGACATATAGTTACTACTGCGAGTGACTCGGTATCGTATGCACTACGATGAGGTATTAGGAGGTTTGCAAGAAATCCAGGACTCGTATTTCTTGTTAGCTGTCATTCGTTAACCACCTGACATTTAAACATAGGTTACTAAATACTGAAGCACTCAGGCCAATAGTCAAATGGCATCTTGATAGATAGAATTCGATCAGTACCAAAGAACTAGATAACTATGACAGTGAGGACCGTCCAGTGATCAATCAAGTCCTTATGCTAAAGTCGAATAGAAGTCTCTGACTTTGAAACAGTAATAACGTTGGTTCAAATTCCACAAAAGCATCAGTTTCTTTAAGATCGCATGTATGTTACCATGAAATCTTGGGTGTATAGTATCTTTTTGCAGGCTTTGATTTAAACAGTTCTTTCACTTCAGGCTTTGAAAAATTTTATGGTTACATTTTATAGATGACTTCATTAAAATAACTCATCATTCACACTTCTATTCAAATTTTGCAATGATTTCTAATAGTTATTTTTTTCTCCACAAGACCACAGAAGATTTAAATAGATGATAAATCATTAATTTCAAAACAATTAAAGGCGAGAAAAACTTTTTAAAAACGAATTAGTCAAGAAGACATTATAGACAAAAAATAAAATAATAGAATGCTACACAGTATATACACAAATACTGACTGTCCTTATATATGTAACATTATGTGATCTTTTTTTGCGCTTTGTTACCGACAAATTAATTCACTAAATAAACTCTCTCAAAATGAATTCATTCAAGTGTTAAACATTCTTCTTACTGTCATAGATCAAATTAATAAAATTCTGAGAATAAAGCATTTTGAAAAATTAAAATTTATACCTTACCTAATAATACGAATCTCTTATCCTAACTTGTCAGTTTTAATTCTTATTAAATTTTCAAATTGAGACGTATATTGTTTGGGGTGAATCTTCATTTGATATAGTGCTCATATTTTTATAAGTTATCTGTTAAAAATACAAACCAAAATTACGCTTTCTTTAAGTAATTGTCAAATTTAAAGTCATAAACTTTTATAACAGATTAACGAATGAATTGTAGCACACGGATCTTTATTATAAGATAAGAACTTCATATTTAAACGTGAATTTCGAAGTATGAAATGAAATATTTAACAGTATTTATATTAAATATATACATATATATTGTTTAGAATGATGACTGACAAGAAATAGTAATTGTCAGTATAGGGTTGAGGAGATTGTTGGTGTTCTCTAAAATCTCGAATCGATCAACGTAGGACTACCATTGGAGACCTGGAAGCACTGGGCGACCGTTTAATCTTAGCATGGAACTCACCCACAGTGTGCATTCAGGACCTCAGCTGACTAGAATCGAACCCAAGGACTTCCAGGCTCGTTCACGAACGCTTAACATCTTGACCGCTGAGTAGACATACAACGGTGTAACTGTCTAACTTGAATTATTCCATGATATTGCGCAACTGTGTCAGGCATGAGGCAACTACCCACTGAAGTCAGTAGATTATAGTTGCGCAATATCGTGGAATAATTCAAGTGAGACTTTAAAACCTCTTGTGAGGGCTCAGTGGTCTAGGGGTTAAACGTTTATGCGCGAGACCAAATGTGCTGGATTCCATTTCTGCTCATGAAGTCCTGAATGCGCACTGCTGTTGAACCCAATACTACGATGAAATGCCCGTTCAGTGCTTCCAGGTTTCCAGTGGTAGTTTAATATTGATCGATTAAATGATTTCAGTAAGTAGTTACACATTAGTTGTGTAATATCAGTCTCTAAAAATATGTCAAAACCAGAAAACTCGACAATTGAAAATTCGATCCTCGTTGAGAATTTGTAAACCACATAAAAATTGTTGGTAATGAATTCATAAAAGTAACAAAAAACAAATTTTGTTAAAATTATTTCATTGAGTGACCTCATATGTTCCAAACTGACTTTTAAGTTTGCTGAAGTTAAAATCTATCCCAAATGATATTTTAATCGTTATTCGGATTACTGAGATTTGTTCAAATCTTATTGTCCAACAAAATTGACTTTACTTAAAGACTAGCTTGTTGAGAGTGGAAACAGATCTGACGAATTATATAATGATAGTGTGGATCTGTTACCCGGAAAAAGATTTCTCAACCTCAAATATGTGGACTATACTGTCTAACTGAGCTAGATACCCAAGCCAAGCAATACGCACTTAATCAGTTGGGAATCCGTTTCCATAGGTGTGGCATGTTCTTATCACTTTCTAAGTGTAAATTGCTTTTACAAGACTATCAGTAGCATCTGTCTGCACTCACCCTGTATAGTGAGTGGATAGAAGTGGTCAAGTTCGTGTGTCTGGATAGCTGTGAAGTTCTGGTTTAAGCCTGACTGATGCAGTCGGTGAACGTATGGAGCCGATCTGCGTCATCTTTGACGCCTTGGTGATGCAAGCTTGGCTGTTTACGGTCGGATCTACAATGCATTAGTGAAAGCACTCTTGTTCTATTCTTGTGAAACATGATGTTTCGTAGTTGATTATGTCAAGTGACTTATTATTGTATTCGATCATCTTTGTTTCCGAAGGATTTCTGACGTTCGCCATCGGGTGTTCGAGTACCACCTTGTATTAACAACTTCAGTGGCTTGGTTATGTACCACCAATGCTTCCCTAGCGAAGTCCACACCGCGACATAGAGATTGATTAGAGAAAGTGGTCAGTGTATGACTTGGTGTAGCGGTATGAAAGAATTCTGTATGGGACTAGTATTAGTTGGTACTTCACCAATCCCCTTTTGTCATCATAGAGATGATGCAATTCATTGACTTGAGGTGTTATCAGACATGACTCAGAACAGAAGCCAGTAACAGTCCTGCTGTAACTTGATTTCGTTTCTTCACATAAGTAAGATAAACTTTTTCAACTCAGAAGATTCTTTCTGATTGTATTTCACCTAATTAAACTGTTTCTCCCACTTCTATTCTAATTATTTCACTCCCATACACTATTTCGAAACCAGTTTTTCGTTGTACTCATCATTCTTTCTCTGCCTTTACACAACTTCACTCTTATTGTGTCAACAATATACATTGCTCAATGCTCCTCTGTACCATTCTTTATATGCTTTAAATGAACATTTAAAAAAATTAATCCCGTTGTTCATATATTTTCTTAAAAACTAATTTATTTGTAGTCATTTCACTCACTGAATTAACTATGTTGACTAAAACCCATGGATCAGATATGTAATTGCAAAGGTTGGTAAGTGTTTATTGGTCGAAACACTTTAATTTAGATGAAAAGCTTATACTACTTTGTTAGTTGTTGATAAAGCTACTATTTTCCAACTGGTGCCATCTAGTAAAAAAAGCATTTCTTCAATTCAAAATAAATAAAAAAAAAGCGTTTTGCAGATAACGAAACATTTTCCTTACGTGATTCCAATCTTTTTGATTGCAAAGATAAGCATCATTTGAATAGAAAAAATTAATTGAGTTTGATAAATTTTTAAATGAGAGATAATAATATTTGAAATCATTAATCAATCATCATTGTTAGACCACCATTAGAAACCTGGAAGCACTGGACGGCCGTTTCGTCCTAGTATGGGACTCCTCAGCAGTGCGCATCCACGACTCCTGCTCCTCGCAGGATTCGAACCCGGGACCTTTGGCATTGTAGGCGAACGCCTTACCATCGGACCACTGGGCCGGCATCCAACGGTGTTAATGTCTAACTCTGATTGATCTAGGGATTTTGCGCGACCTCACCCATTTGTCTTTGGTAGTTACTGCCTACACCCGACAGGGTTGAACTCCACTGGTCACGTCTTCTCAACTAGAACTCCGAGAATTTCCTCACGAAGCTAGTCACTAGTGAGCACTGTTACATTATATTGGGGCACAGTTTTGGAGGTTTACGTTTTTACACATTTGAAATCATTAATCAATCATCATTGTTAGACCACCATTAGAAACCTGGAAGCACTGGACGGCCGTTTCGTCCTAGTATGGGACTCCTCAGCAGTGCGCATCCACGACTCCTGCTCCTCGCAGGATTCGAACCCGGGACCTTTGGCATTGTAGGCGAACGCCTTACCATCGGACCACTGGGCCGGCATCCAACGGTGTTAATGTCTAACTCTGATTGATCTAGGGATGGATATGCGCAACAAATATATATAAAATGTATGTATTTTTCAAGAAAGTATTTTTCATAGTGTTAGTTATCGATTGATGGCATTGGTTTCAAACATAGAAAGAAAAAGTGTGGTCTACTGATGAAAGTAGAAAAAAAAAACTTAACAATCTTGACAACAATCCCGCAATGCAATTACATGTGTCCACTAGTGACTAGCTTGGTGAGGAATCTTCTCCGAGTTCTAGTGGAGATGTCGTGACCAGTGAAGTTCAAACCTGTTCGGATGTATACAGTGTATGAGGTTGCGCAACTCCGTGAATTTGATCAAGTTAGACATTAACACCGATAGATACCGGCTCAGTGGTCTGACGGTCAGGGCGTTCGCGCACAATACCGAAGGTCCTGGGTTCGAATCCCGCGGGGTGCAGGAGTCGTGGATGCGCACTGTTGATGAGTCCCATACCAGGACGAAACGGCCGTCTTTCAGTGCTCCCAGGTTTCTAATGGTGGTGGTCTAACATTGATCGATTCATGGTTACAAATGAAAGTAGAAGTTATAAACACTAATGACAATAGATTTGCTAACTGACAGAAAATTGATGTGGTACTCTAAAATATTCATTAGATAACAACTTTCGTATTTCATAGTTTCTTTCAAAGACCGACTTTAGATAGACAACCATCAAGAGTCATGAAACATTGAATGGCTGTTTCTTCCTAGTCTGAGATTCCTCAGCAGTTACCATCAACGACTTTTCTGAGCAAGGAACTCACTAACTTCATTTCTCTCAATGAACTCTCGGTCTGTATACTACCGTGTCAAAATCTCATTGCTATATGCTAAATTCAGTCAAATAGTGATAATTCATTATGAATTTCCAGTTACATAACAGGTGACATCCTCTTACAAGCCATCGCTGAACACTGCACCGGTTTCGTCTTCTGACTAGAACTGTTGGAACTGCATCTAGAAGTTATCCACTAGCTAATACAAGATTATTTTTATAAGCAGGGGTTTAAAATTTTGAGAAGTTTCAGTTCAGTGCCTCCGAATTTTCATTACCTATGGAATTCGACAGTGTCTACAAAGCCTCCGTAAAACACTTCCATTAATTACTATGTCAACCAATCGATCAGTCAATGACACTTAACTAATGTAATTAAATATATTATTCTTGTTCTCTTTTACTTTTTTTCTCTCCTCTATCAAATATAATTAAAGTGGATAAAACTGATCATGTTTTCTATGCTCTCATGACTACAACTGATTCAATCTCTGGTCTATATGCTTTATGTGCATTCAATCTGAATAGTGTAGATCAAAATTTGAATATTGATCATTTAATCAAATTAAAACAATCAAACAATGCACACAATGGTTTATTTCGTATGATATGGAGAGATAATAATAATAATAATAATAATGAAATAAATTCATCATCAACTTATTATAGTTTTTATAAATATACATCGAAATGGTCTGTAGATATTGTACCATCGTCAAAAATGACAAGAGAAATAATGAAAACTTCTAAAGTAAGTTTCTGCATAATTAAATTTAATCTTAAAATTAATCTTATGTTAAATAAAAAAGGAAATAGTAATGACCATGTTATTGTCATTAAAATTATAGATTAGATTGCTAAATAAATTTAATTAATCTACTTCTCATTATAATTAGTAGTAGTAGTGTACTACATATTAATGAATAGAATATAAAATATTTGAAAGATGATTATCAGTAACTTCAGTAAAAATAACTGAATCATTAATCGCATAACCAGTTTATGTTGGAAAAGTGATAATAGAATAGAAACATTCAACAGATAATTGATTTTGATTATAACTGAATAATAAATAACCTTTGTTCGAATGACAAAATTAAAAAGTGAGTGCAAATTTCTTGGCAATAAAGAAATGTATTAGTTCGTTGAAAATAAAACATTATGTTAACTATTTAAAGATTATTTTAAAACTATTTATCATTACTGGTTAATATGGATGAAGAAAAATGAATTCAATTATACTGTGGTGTGTGCTACTTACACGAACGATATAAGTAGTATAAGAAGGGACGTGAAAGAAGAAGTCTCACGGTCAGAAGAGGAAAACGGAAAGCAAATGGAGCAAGAGCAAGAAGTAAATGGAATACCAACAGGAATGGAAGAATTATGGAGCGTTGGAAATCAAGACTCAAAGATGGTGTGCAAATAGAGTGTTCAATGTAATGTTTTCGTTTTTAATTGACTCAGAGTGTAAAATTGCATAATACAATCTTCCGCGCCTGCCTCAGTCTTCTCAATACTACCTACGATTGATGGATCAATTTATTGGAAAGTAATAAGATTTTATAAACAATGTTTTATCCATCACCAGACTGATGTAGTAATCAATAAACTGGATTTTGATAGTCTCTGTTTCCACAACGGCAAAGCAGTTCTATTCAGTGAAGAAGCTGATAGAATGCAAAGTCTTTTAACTAACCTGAGTAACAATGCAAACATGTTCGGAATGCGATCATCTCCCACGCAGTGTAAATTGTTTTTTCTGGATTGGATTGTATCGGCACTCGAGCTGGTGATAGGTAGTGAAGCAGTTGAGGATGTTGACTGCTTCACTTATCTTGGCAGTCTCATCAGTGCTGATGGTCTGGTGACTAACGAAATCTCAGCAAGGATACAGAAGGCTCGACTGACCGCCAACTTGCGTCACTTATGGCATAGGCAAGATATCCGTTTTGCTAACGAAAGGACGAGTATGCTGCGCTACAGTTCACTCTATCCTACCTTATGAATGTCAAATATGGCCAGCGAGAGTAGAAGATATTCGCAGGTTGCTGGTTTCCGATCACCGGTGTCTCCGAAGGATTGCTTATGTATTCTAGAACCATCGAGTAAGCACTGCTGTTGTTAGGATGGCAGATGAATCGATGAAGTATTGAAACTTCACCATTTGAAATGATTGAGACATAAGTTGCGTATGCCTAATCACTGACTGACTGCTTTGTCAAGTTATGTTTTGCAACTTTAATAATAAAAACACATGATGAGTAGTATCAGGGCAATTAGCTCGAGATCCATTGATCCTCATTGTGATTGACCACCAATTGTAGTTATTAACAACAACAACAACAACAACGATAAGATAGAAAGATTTCCATCTTAAGTTAAATGCATTCCTCTTTACAACTTTATTGCTTGTAAAAAATTATTATAATATTTTTTTTTCTAATCAGACATGTCCATCAGAATCATTACCGGATTATTATTCACAATTCGCCACCTTACATCCATTAGTTGGTACACGTGTATGGTCTTTAAACATGATTCATATTTTAGAAAATCAAACAACACCAACAACAACAAATGAACATACATTATTATTACTTAAACAACCTGGTAAAGCATTGAATATATTTACAATGAATGATTTCATTAATGAAACAAGAGAAATACCAATAGATTTCATTGTACAATGGGCTAATTCAATTCATGATAATGATATGATTTATATTGCTACAAGTAAGTTTTCTCTTTTTATATTATTCTTACATGATATTAAAGTGAATGAATTATGAGTAATTTAAGTAGTATTGTTTTGTTTGTTTGTTTGTTTGTATTTTTTTAATACGAAGAGTGGAATATTTATATAAATTGAAAATAGTTCAATCATAAAATGAAATGATAATATTTTGTGCGGGAGTTTTGGAGGTTTGCGTTTTTACACATTTGAAATCATCAATCAATCATTGTTAGACCACCATTAGAAACCTGGAAGCACTGGACGGCCGTTTCGTCCTGATATGGGATTCATCAGCAGTGAGTATCCACGACTCCTGCTCCTCTCACGATTCGAACCCTGGACCTTCGGCATTGTAGATCAATCAGAGTTAGACATTAACACCGTTGGATGCTGGCCCAGTGGTCTGATGGCAAGGCGTTCGCCTACAATTGATGATTTCAAATGTGTTAGACATGATAATACTCTTTCCCTATATATATATATATATATATATATATATATATATAATAGGGATAAATATAATATTGTTCGACTTTGATTTTTAAAAAAATAATATTCAAGTATGGTAGTAATGAAGAATTAATTGATAAAGACTGCCTGCATGTTAGAAAAGATTAGTAAATTGATAAAATGTTAAAACGCATCATCCTGCCATACATCAAAGACATATCGGAACATACGGCACGACTACTGAAACCATTTGGAATAGGTGTAGCACACAAACCAACAGAATCACCTCAGTTAATCCTATGTAGACTAAAGGACAAAATGACAAAGGAAGAAAAACCAAATATTATCTACAAAATAAATTGCTCAAACTGTGAAAAATACTACACATAGGACAAAGTGGACGAACTCTTCAGCTCCGTTTACGTGAACATCAATTAGCAGTCAAACGCCACGACAACGCTTCGCTTAAATCAATACACACCGACAATTATGGACACACATTTGATTGGAACAATGTGGAAATACTGGGTAGGGGGAAGACAAAGAACACTAGAGAATTTTTAGAACCTTGGCATTCAGGTCAATCAGAAATCAACAAACACATCGACATTGACTCAATTTATCAACCAATCAGGAAAATCATAGGTGACACAGGATCAAGAAACAGATCAAAAGGGGGAGGCAATCAAAACATAGTTGCAAACAACGACAGGTCAAAGGTCAACAGCAACCAATCAAGATCGAGGTTAGCAGAACAAGCTACAGGTCAAACGTGGAGAAATTCGAATGCTTCACTTCTGCTATCTCAAGTTTGTGCTGATGATGTTGTTCAGCAGCCGAACAATGAAAGCTCCACAACCAAAACAACCAGCTCAGAGAACGAAACACCACCACAATCATCTACCTGAGCTACAAGTTTTCTCCACCATCTCAAATCAACTGATAATTTTCCAATAAGATAAATCCTACGAAAATTCTTAAATATTGAATCAGTATTATAAAACAAAAGATTATTAGTAGTAATCCAGTTGAATTTTATCAATATAACTGACGAACATGCATTATACACATTGATAATACAAAAATCAATCATAAGATTGATCAGCTTATTACTTTCAATAGACAATCAAAATTTAAGAATTTATCACCACAGATGTAGTAAAAAGTCAGTAGACATTGTAGCATCTCTTTGTGTGATTGTTGTAGTGGAGATTTTCTACGTGATTGTCATAGTACGGTCAAAATGTTGTCATTCATTCTCCTCATGTCTATCTCCAATTCTTTGGTCTACTTGTTTGCCTTTGATGTTGAGGATCCTAAGTTACAGCATGCTTCATGACATGACGCAAATAGGTAATCTGCGCAATGTATTTCCTATCCATCTTCAGCACTTTGCATTAATTTCTTCCTCAGCTGGAATCTGGTTTGTTCTCTCTCACGTTAAAAATTTTAAGAACTGATGTATATATTCTATCTCATTTACATAGTAAAGGCTAGTTAGTATTACTTCTTGAATCAGGCGAAAATTCTTAATCACATTAATATTGATTGTTTGATTTCTATAATGAAAGTTTATTAAATCAATGTTATTTAAGCTACTAATTATATACACGAAATTTGGTCATCATGTAGTGGAGGAGAACATAGGTGAGGGCAACCGAATTGTATTGATCGCAAATTAGTGTTAATCAGTAAAATAGGAAAACTATATCGTAAAAGGTTAATTTGCAAATCTTCAATCCATCATCAATCCATTGTCTGACATTTCACTATTCATGCGTTTCATACAAATCCCATTGTGTTCCCATTCTTCCGTTCTTGATCTTCCTCCATCTTCTGCTGCCAGACATTACGTTTACACTCGCGTCATATACTACTACTTATAAGTAGCGCGCACCACAATCGTATTTAAAAGTAAGTTTTAATTATAAATGATAACTAAATAATAATTTGCATTCATTGATTGAAACAAGTTTTATTTGTGTTTTTGATTTGATACTTACTTTATTTTGAACAAATTTTCAGATAAAAAAATTATTTTCACTATTGAAACTGGTATAAAATTAAAACAACAAATTGTATATAGTCAAAATTTCAAGCATCAATTCAATTCAAATATATTGAATACAATAAATTATTTCATAAAAACAAATGAAAATAAAAAATTTCAAATTATGGATAAATTTAAAATAATAATTGACAATAATTATACCATACAATCTTTGTATAAATGTGATTTCAGTAGTATATTATCAGTCAATATGATGTTGAATGATCATTCTACTATAACATATACAAAAAATGATTTAAATAGAAACAAGTTTGCACAAAATAAAATGATTCCATTTCATCCTGTGAAAATAGTTTGTGATGCATATTTCTCATGCAAGTAAGTTTAGTTTATGGTAGGTAAATTTGTAAAATGTACATAATAATAACTTACTCAGTGTTATATAATCTTGGAGACACCAAAAAACAACGTGTTATAAGACTGAAGCATGCATATACACTATGTAGATTTGTTAAAATGAAAATTTTGGGGCACAATATTGGAGGTTTTACACATTTTCTTTTTTTAACACATTTGAAATCATCAACCGATCATTGTTAGACCACCATTACAAACCTGGAAGCACTGGACGGCCGTTTCGTCCTGGTATGGGACTCATCAGCAGTTAAAATTGTACATATTGATATCGATCATCTTTGTCTTAATTGACGACTGTTTTTTTCATCGCAGACTGATATTAAATTTGGAATTAAGACAAAAACTACTTACTAGACAGTAATTTTGTTCAATCTTGTAAATCTTTATCACCCACGAAATCCTTCGTTTCCGAATTCAAAAAATATCAAATTTCTTCAATAACTGCAGTTATAGTTTGAATGAACTATCATCGGAATTGTAGTTACTTTCCAGCATGCATTGATGGAAATGCATTTATGTTATGAAAATAATTACAGAATTTACACTAATTCACAAACTTGATGATTAGGTTTGTGCCAAAAATGAATATAACATTCAAAAAATTCAAGGGTGTATTATTTGAGGAAAAAAATGTGACTGATGAATAGTTTCGACTGAACATTTGTCATTAAGATGTGAATAACCGGAAGCTTATGATGCAAGCCATTTGTTCAATCATCCATCGGTTATGGTAGTTTTAAGGTATCATATTGCTACTGTAGTATAAATAGTAATCACCTTGTTTTTTTAAACACAAAGTGATCTTTTGAAAAAAGTAGAAAATAAGTTCACTAACAAAATAACATTGCTTCAAATTTATAATCATTTAATTGTCAGACAGAGAGATACAACACAGAACTTCGTACATAAGTACATCAGTTCATGTTGCCATACTACGTCAGCACAGAGACGTAACTGTCAGTTCAAATCCAAGAGTGATAGCGATAGTATAATTATTAGCAGCAATGGAGAAGATTAGGGAGCGAAGATATGATTCGAGAAGTATAATTCAGTAAGATAAATTTAGAAGGAGAAAGGTAGAGGTCCTGACGATTCCAGAAGATTAGGATTTGAGAGAGCTCAACGAATGGATGCACTTGCGCCATTGCAAACGATTTTGAGCCATTTCATGCAAGGTCTCTAACCATTGGCGACTATCGTCTCGCGGACCCCAACCAGGTAGTCTACATCTATCAACATCACTCAGTCCACTTGTCACTGACTCCATGGATTTGTGCCATTTTTTGGTCTGGCCGCCCCTTGCTCTCTTCCAAACTATTCCTACACTACAAAACAAAGCTCGTCGAGGCAGTCAGTGGTTAGGCATACGCAACACATGTTCCAACCACCTCAACTGATGAAGTTTCATTACTGACGACATCATTGCTTACTCAGTCATCCCAGGATACACGAGCAATGCTTCGGATACACCTATAATCGAAGACAAGTAACCTACGAAAGTCCTCCACTCTTACCGGCCATGGTTCGCATCCGTATAGTAGAACAGAGCTAATCATTCAATTGTATGATAATTCGATTGATATATGAAATGACCAAATTGTATAAATGAAAAACTTAAATCATCTTATTTTATACATCGACGCTGGCATGTGACATTTAAGCTTTAAAACACAGAAAGTTGATGAAAATAATAAATGATAATATATATATATATATCGTATGCAGACGGAAAACTTATAAAAGATTAATAGTATTTATTTATTTTAATTAGGACATATGAATATACATAACACAAATGATGATAATCTAACATTCTATTTTTAAAAAAATTCGATATTGAATTTATTTTCCTTTTTCTACAATAACTTATATGAGAATAGTAAGTAATAGAATAATGATTGATAATTTTTCGTTAATATCCTAATCAGTAAGTATACAATTAGTATTTTTTGACATTTCACAGTTTAATATCAAGTTCTTTTCTTCACAATAAATAAATTTGTACATTAATTTTACAATAAATGAATATTTGTCTTTGCATAGATTTCAAAGACTAAGAAGTTAAGATGTTTTCGAATATTTCAGTAGTTTCTTTTTACTTGTTGATTAATTGTTTTTTTTTCTTGTTGTTTTGAGAAGACTAAGGCAGGCGCGGTAGATTGCATCATACTAATTTACACTCTTAGTCAATTAAAAACGAAAACATTACATTGAACACTCTATTTGCACACCATCTTTGAGTCGTGACTTCCAACGCTCCATCCTTCTTCCATTCCTGTTGTTGCTTCCTTTCCTTCCTGTTGGTACTCCCTCTTTACTTCTTTCTTTTGCTCCGTTTGCTTTCCGTTTTCCTTTTCTGACCGTGAGACTTCTTTCACGTCCCTTCTTATACTACTTACATCGTTCGTACAAGTAGCAAACACCACAGTTGTAACAATGATTATTAATATTACACTTTTTTATTTATTTAGAAATTGTCAGTTCACTAATCAACAACATTTTTGTAAATGGAATGATAACAAGCATATTTGTTTATTAAATGAGTAAGTTGATTATTTAAGTATTATCATTTTTCAATGAGTAATTAATTGTTTAAAATAACGTACGTGTCTTATTATTTATTGAATGAAATGATTTCGATATTAATTTGTCAGGTGATAGATAATAATTACTTCATCAGAAGAATTAGGAAAATATTTTTTTTCTTTCTTTCCAACAAACAGTAGCTGATAAAATTATAACATCATATGAAGTCAATGACAAGGGGGACTAAGCAATGTCGGTAGGTGTCGACTACACCTGGTTGGGAGTCCGCTTCATGATAGGAATCGATGGTTAGAAACTATAAATGAAATGGCTCTAAATCGTTTGCAATGATGCCAGGTGCATTCATTCATTGCGTTCTCTTAAATCTTAACCTTCTGAATTCCTCATCACCTTCATCCTTTTTCTTTTAAGTTTATTTCACTAGATTCTATTTCTTGAATAATATTTTACGAATCCTAACCTCTCCGATGACTGCTAATACTTTTACTACCTCTACTACTATGAGATTTGAATTGACGATTACATCTCTGTGCTAATATGGTATGGGGTAATTTGAACTGATGTACGTGCGTACGTACGAAGTTCTACGTTTCTGTTTATTGATCGATCGACTGATTGACATAACATCAAATATGATATTGAATTCTAAAATATTCTCATGCCTTGACCAACTAGAGGAGAATAGAGTGATCCGGATTAATTGTCCAATTTTCTAATTTACAACTGTTCTCCAACTGAACCTCATTGGATAAGTTAAAAAAGACAACATATTAATGATATTTATTATTATAAAATAAATTATTTGTTAAGCATAAAACTTGATCACAATACTGATAGAACCTTATGGTTTCAATTTTTCTATCTGTTCAAACAATATAATTTAAAATATTGAATAGCATGATTTAAGTACTGTTTGTTTCAAGATTTTAGACAAATAACAACTCATAAAATGTTTATATCAATAACACTATCCATTTAATTGTTCGTTCAGAATTGTAATTAACCAAGAAAATGTGATATTTATTTCCTAACAAGTAATCAACGATTTCATTGAATGTCGAGTAAATAAGGCATACAATTATCGTAATTGAAAAATATATATATATACAACTAACATATAAAACTCTGTAGTGAAGGAGAACACAGGTGAGGGCAACCGAATTGTAATTAACGAAAATTACAGAGTTATTCAGTAAAATGGGAAAACCATATCGTAACCGTTAATTTAGTAATCTTCAATCCATCATCAATCCATTGTCTGACATTTCACTATTCATGCGTTTCATACAAATTCCATTGTGTTCCCAATCTTCCTTTCTTGAACTTTCCCCATCTTCTGCTGCCAGACATTACGTTTACACTCGTGTCATATACTACTTATAAGTAGCGCGCACCACAAATCAAATGAATGACAATAGAAATATTGAACAATTCACAGAATGATCTAGTTGGATTAATTATGTGAATGTTAGATATTGAAATTCCTTACGGAATAAATAAACTAAATAGAAAATTGTTTAAATTGTATATATTTGAATCTACTCGCTTTTGATGTTCAGGTCTGTAATTATTCAGTCTCTTTTAGCGTGTATGTTCATCGTGATCAGATTTTCTTGGTTTCGTCATTGAGTCAGAAGTACTTCCAGATAGAGTTTGGTGTCCTGTATGGAACACGTCATCTGAATGTACGTGCATCCTTGTTGATGTTCACACCAAGACTCGTCGGACCCAATGTCTTTCTGTTGGGGACGTTAGATCCCCAGAACTCACTTCATCAAGGTCCTAAATTTGAATTTTTCGTTTTAGCGTATGGACCGATCGATTGACCTTGAGATTACATTTCCTACCCCGAAAAGTCCTTGACTGTTATTGGTTGATGTGTCATTTTACTACGCTCTTTTTTCGGCTCTCCCAAGGACGTTCCTATGTTGTATGAATGAACTCGATTTGTGTGCTTGTCAACCTCGATCTTCTGGGTGCTTGTAGAATTCACCTTTTACGTCTTGTCAAGACATCTTACTCTACTTATTGGGGCGTTGGGACGCTCGGAATTAACGATTTTAACACTTTCATTACAAATGCTCAACTTCTAATGACAGGTAGATTTGAACCTATACAAATGAAGTGCAAGTTAACTCTATTGCACAGACCAGTATCTACTTTAAATTAGGCAGCTCCCTTGTAACTAACTGTACATCTTTTTTCCCACCTCTAAATAAAGATCACACCATTAGTATTCTTTTTATTGAACAGAGTATTTCACAAATCATACAAGTGCTTTCTTTATTTTCTTTCCAAAGTAATTACGTTTTAATTTGAAAGCCAGAAACCGTAAGTTAACAATGACTTAAATACTTTAGTTATCATATTTTACAAATTTTCTTACCACGATCAGTACACCTGTCTTCCTACTATCCACTTGTACTTTTGCCTATTATATAGGTAGTGAAGTAATCTCTATTTCATTTCATTGTGATCATCGCTCGAATTGCCTTGATTGGTTTAACATTTTCATATAAATATTCATGTATATTAGAGTAAAGCCTGATGGCGATCTAATCGAAAACAATATTGTTCGATTATATGTGTTGTTCTAATAATATATCAGTTACTTCTAGTTAATTTTCTTCATCTTTTATCTTACATAAGCTATTTTGTAATTTGAAATGGTGGAGAAAATTGTTGTTAAGGTGTTTCGTTCTCTGAGCAGCAGCTGGCTGTTTCAGCAGTTATGCTTTGTAATTTTTTCAATTATTATTCAGTTTTCAATTACTTTCTTAGTTTTGGAGCAGAGTTTTGGAGGTTTGCGTTTTTACACATTTGAAATCACCAATCAATCGTTGTTAGCCCAGTGGTCAGATGGTAAGGCGTTCGCCTACAATGCCTAAGGTCCCGGGTTCGAATCCTGCTGGGAGCAGAAGTCGTGGATGCGCACTGCCACTGACGAGTCCCATACCAGGACTTGACGGTCGTCCAGTGCTTCCAGGTTTCTAATGGTGGTCTAACAATGATTGATTGATGATTTCAATTACTTTCTTAGTATTTACATAGAAAACAAATTGGTTAATATTGTTCATCATAGTCTATTAAATCATCTTATATTAAAGAAAAAAAAAGTGTTAATGTTTTCACATTTATTCAAATTCATTCATTGACTAGTAAAAAAATGTATATATATATGTATTTCATTACAGTTCTTCACATTCTCAACTTAAATCAATGGATTCCAGTTTATATAATTTTTGTTATAATGAATATGATGATGATGATGAGAAAAGTTACATTGACCAATCAAAACAATATCATCGACTTCGAGGTTTATCAGGTAAGAGATCTCTGTTAATACTTTAGGTATAGATAGTCCTATCAATTATATATAAAATAAAGTCTGAATTATATCAATTTTTATTGTAGACATTTTAGTGAGATGATAGTTCATGAATTTTATTTTTTTTGATCGGCCAAAGGATTGATTATTCAGGGTGTTTTGTTCAACGAACTGAATTGTTTAGTTGCAAAAAACTTTCATCTTCGTTAACAGATAGATACTTTGAAAAATGGAAAAAATTAGAATTTTTCCACATTTAACGAGAAGTTTATTATATCGACTTGGAATTTGATTGGTTTAATAATATTCAGAATTCTATGGCCTTTCTTTGTACCTCAATTGTTTTCTCGCTTGATTTCGATCATTGGTCTTGTAGCCGATTAAGTTTAACTTTGAGTATTAGCTCCGTTTTTATTGAAGGCCTTATTTGGCAGCCCTTGCCGCCGGAGACGGAAATCCGTGAGGTAGGGTAAGGTGTGACATTTTTAGGGTCGATATTTTCTAACCGTTCCTTCTTTGTGAGAAGGCAGCATCGCTGCAGATGCTGGTTTTCCAAGGGAAACACCTTACTTCTGTCACACCCCTCTGCAGTAGTCAGCAGTACGACTTCACCCTCAGACCTTGAGTAGCTGCTTTTAGTTTCATCGTTCTCTAATCGACCTGACTGTCATGGTAGAACCTTCAGAAACATAAGTTCCAGCCAGTATAGCTCTGTTGGGTCATCACGATAGGCAAGCCCGATTACCACATCAAAGTAGCAGCTACGGTCGGGTATGTATGTACCAATTTCTACATTGTAGCTGACTGATAGACATTGTGTAGCTATCTATCGGTTGATGCGTTAGGCTGTAGCCTGTTTACATTGTTAAACAATCAGGATATAGAATGCAGTTAAAATAAATAATTTATTAGTTTAAAGTTAAGTAACTAGATCGAAGAGTAACAGTTTCATTTCATAAGAAATAGTACATTATCAATAAGGAAAGCTAAAATTACTAATTAAATGTAAGAAACAATATGTTTATTACGAAATATATTTTTAAATCTAACGTGTATTGAATTCAACCTCTCTGTCCTGTTTGTATTGCACAATAAAATAAGACAGTTGATTCATAAATTTCAGGCTGTGAATTAATGATCTCATCCTAAACACTACCATTAATGGAAATACAATAAAAATTCAAAAGTTTTGGTAAATGAACCGAATGACCCTTGGTGTGATAGATAAATTTAGTCTACACTGTTGGAAGCAAAGATAATACAAAAAATTGTATTGAATTTGATAAGACTGATGACTATTCATAAACTCATTAGTTGAAAGTTTTATGTTCATTCAGTTTTATAGAGATTCACTGAACAAAGATTATTTTAAAAAGTTGTATGTTAAGCCACATGCAGGTGTAACTGAGATATAGAAAGCCATTTGTTTGGTTAGGTTCCCTAACCGCATGTTCATATACGAGTCATTTTGTTTATTTATAGTGTCTAGCACATTAGCAGTCAGAATATTCAGAAGCCATTCAGTTAAACAGTTTCGTATAAAATATTAACTTCTCTAGTGGCTACCAGTGAAATCAAGTAGGCGCATAGGCTGTACATATGCCAAAACAGATTATTGATCATTGCAGTCATAAACATCAGTAGGACGATTCAAACAACTAACACAAGTGAAATATTCTTCTGTATAGTTTGTTTAGTTAACCAATGGCATCATTCACTAGTAGTAGCTAAATAAAAACATAGATTACATGCAAACAAAACCCTTTATTATTTTAAAGAAACTAGAATTAATGGTTGGTAAGAAATAACATGAATTCATTTTATTTCACTAGGTTCTCATTATGTGTTGCGTATGCCTAACCATCGACTGCCTCGAAGAGCTTTGTTTTGTAGTGTAGGAATAGGTTGGAAGAAAGTTAGGGGCGGCCAAACCAAATCATGGCGGAAATCCATGAAGTCATTGACGAGTGAACTTAGCCATGTCGGTAATTGTCGACTACCTGGTTAGGGTCCGCGAGATGATAATGATCGATGGTTAGAGACCTTAAACGACATGGCTCAGAATCGTTTGCAATGGCGCCGGTGCATTTATTCTTTGTGTTCTCTCAAATCCTAATCTTCTGGATTCTTCAACACCTCTAGTTTTGACTTTCTAAACTTTTCACATTAAATCATACTTCCTGAACAATATCTTCTAATCCTTACCTCTCCGATTACTTCTACTACCTCTTCTACTATTGGATTTGAATTGACAATTACATCTGTGTGCTGATGTGGTATGGCAACATGAACTGATGTACTTACGTACGAAGTTCTACGTTGCATCTGACTGACTGACTGACTGACTAGGTTCTCATTATTTGCTTACAACCTATGTTATTTTAAATTCAAACTGGATAACTAGTGTCAATGAGATAACACTACTGAATGCTTCTAATCCGCTCGAAATCAGAATTCTTCTTATGCAAAACAACACGCTCATTAACATAGGTCGGTAGGTATCGCTTTGGTGTAACCGCCAATTGCATACACAAATTCCCATCTATCTATCAAAGCAGTTACATTGATTAAAACAGATATGAGGACATACATCCAATTCAAAGAACATATCCCAAAAATTCTGAGGTCACGCGGATTAAAGGTATTCAACACTGTAGTAGTCTAGCGATAACCCCCGATTCAGCAGGACATCAAGTTGATACATTGACGTTTTTCAAGGCAATTAATTAATTAACAATCAAACTCCAATCTTCTGAAGCAATAGCCATCAAACTATTAAAGCCAGATTTATGTGTTCATAAATAAACAGAACATAAAACCTTAATTTATCCTGGTTATTATTACATGCATCCTGTCTGTTGCATCTTTATTTTAACTCTTTCTTTCAAACGTTCTCATCACTTCATTTTGCCCTCCTGTTTTTTTAATTCGTAGTACTAATTCTAGTCAACTGATTTTCACCCACATTACTTTAGTTATCATTCATTTGATCTTAGTAGTTACTTCATAATACAACCGTTTGAAGTTTGTTAACTCAATGTTTTTTTAGCCATGTTCTCGAAACCTTTCCTCTTACACTTACTTTATTTATCTGAAACAGTTTTACTATTTACTATACTATCAACTGCATTGGAATCGTTTCTACACCATGATGTATATATATATATATATATATATATATATATATATATATATTCATATCTAATTACCTTTGTATTGATAAATTATGCCCATTGGTATAATAATTTCAATTTTAAATTTTTTTATTGATTGTAAACAGTTGATATGTGAGAATTTAACGAAATAAAAATCAATTCCTATTGTTCTACATTACTCTTCATTTTTTTGCATTACGGGGTTGTGAAGATTGTTAAGTTACACATTTTTGAAACCATGAATCGATCAATGTTAGACCACCATTAGAAACCTGGAAGCACTGAAAGATGGCCATTTCGTCCTGGTATGGGACTCGTCAGCAGTGCGCATCCACGACTCCTGTACCCCGCAGGATTCGAACCCAGGACCTTCGGTATTGTGCGCGAACGCCCTAACCGTTAGACCACTGAGCCGGTATCTAACGATGTTAATGTCTAACTTGATCAAATTCACGGAGTTGTGCAACCTCATACACAGTCTTCGGTAGACATTGCCTAAACCCGAACAGGTTGAACTTCACTGGTCACGTCTTCCCACTAGAACTCGGAGAAGATTATGACAAAAGAAGTTAATTGTTTACGTATACACTGATCATTTATGTAATAGAATGATTATAAATTTTACAGTTTAATATCTTTATTATATATATTTTGTACTATTCTATTTTATAATGATAATAATAACAACCCAATGTGAATTAACTTCTCGTTCTTTTTTTTTTAGATAATAAACTGAATAACAATAAAAATTTATCAAGAAGAAAATTCAAAAACATGAAACTTCCCAATGATAATGATGATGATTTGAATTTCATGCTCACTCATCATCAACAATCAACACCGTCAATGTTCAATATGAAAACATTGAAATCTGATAAATATATTACAGCAATTAATCAAAATCATAGTAGTAATTCTTCAAATGAAACAAATATTATTTATTATCATCATACAACATTACATCATCATATATTCAATTGTATTGTTATATTGTCAATTCTTATTATATGTATATCATTAAGTATGATATGTGGTTATGTAATAGGTAATAGAAATTATTTTAAACAATATAATAAAGTTAAACGTTTATTACTCCGTAATCAATCAAACTATCATCATCATCATCATCATGATCGTTCTTCTCCTTCTTCTTCTGCTTCAGCATCAGCATCAGCTTCTTCATTCTCTGCCACGACTTCGCATGATCATCAACATCCTCACACTATTGATATGTTCAATGATGATCAATGTGATTTGTTTCATTTCAATTGTAACGCATATCAATATCATCAGCAGCATCATCAGCATCATCATCATCATCATCGTCATCATCATGATGATGATAAGAATTTTGGTCAATCTACTAGTAATAATGAACAGCAACGCCTCGAAAAGCATATCAATAAGAATGAAAATCCAAATAGTAATAATAATAATAATAATAATAATAATAGTATTAATAATGATAATAAGAAAAGGAATTTAATGAATTCACAATACCATAACAATAAGACAAGTAATCTAATAACTACTTTTAATCATAAAAATAATAATCATAATAGTAGTAGTAGGAATAATGAGATGGAAAGTATTTCAGAGAATTTATTCAAAAAACACTACTATACAACAACAATGCATGATTGCTTTTATCATCATTATAATCAGTCAAATGAAACACCGAATGAAATTCTATCGAATCTATATGATCCAATAGAAAATCAACAACCATCGAGCAAAACAACAATGAATAATATTATACAATTATATTGTACAACAATAGATAAGCATAGAAATAGTAGCCTTGATTATTATTATAGAAAGTTGAAACCTATGAAGAAAATTAATTCATTAATTACTACCAGTACTACTACTACTTCTACTACTACTATGAATATGAAAAGTAACAATTTACCACAAAATAAAACATCAATATCATCATTCACTTCAACAGTATGTTTATCATCATTACAACAAACATCAACAGTGACAACAACAGTGACCAGCACAACAATCATAGTTCCAACGATGAACACATTTTCATCTTCTTCCACTACTACTACTACTACAAATACTAATCACATTATTATGCCTCATTTCGCAACAGACCCTTATTATTATTATTGTTGTACACCAACAACATATTCATCAAGATTATGTCAACAATTTCAATCTTCTCTTAGATTTAAAAGTTCAGATGATCAGTTACAAACAAATATTATTAGTAGTTATCCGAATGAATATTATTATTACACTTCAAAGGCAATAAGATCATCGGAAAGACCTCCTGTTCAACATAGAAATCATTATAATTATGTGAATTCGATGAATAGATTAAGAACTACTAATAATCATGATGATAATGGTGATGATGAAATAATATCTTAACATTTTTAATTATTTTTCATATGTTTGTGTGTGAGTGTGTATACCACCAGTATGTCTGCTGTACTTCTTTATCGTAAAATAAAATTTCTCTCATGCCTACTGTGGTACTGAGTATGTTTATGTTGTTATTTACGCCTGTTACCCCGAATGGAGCATAGGCCGCCTACCAGTTTTTTCCAACCAACTCTGTCATGGGCTTCCCTTTCCAGTTCTGTCCAATGTTTGTTCATTCCTCTCATATCTTTCTCTATTTCTCGGCGTAATGTGTTCCTTGGCCTTCCTATTTTCCTTTTGCCTTGAGGGTTGCATGTAAGGGCTTGTCTTGTGACGCAGTTGGCTGCTTTTCGTAGTGTATGTATCCTATCCACCAACTCCACCGCTTCTTGATTTTCTCCTGCACTGAAATCTGGTTTGTTCTCTCCCACAGTACATTGTTGCTGATCGTGTCTGGCCAACGAATACGAAGTATTTTGCGTAGACAACTGTTAATAAACACTTGTATTTTCTGAATGATACCTTTCGTAGTTCTCCATGTTTCCGCTCCATACAGTAGAACTGTCTTGACATTTGTATTGAAAATCCTGATTTTGGTTTTGGTTGAAAGTTGTTTGGAGTTTCAGATATTTTTCAACTGTAGAAATGCAGCCCTTGCTTTGCCAATCTGCCCCCTCACATCTGCATCGGATCCACCTTGATTGTCGATGATGCTGCCCAGATATGTAAATGTGTTAACGTCCTCCAAGGCATCTCCATCAAGAGTGATTTGGTTGGTGCATGTTGGTGGTACTGTACTGAGTGATTTATTATTAATTAATTTTCAATTCAATAACTATGTTGTATACTATTGAAGACTAACGACATTACAGATAATATATTAAGACTTAAGAGTTTAACAAAACTAGGAACGGTTTTCTGACAAACATAGTTGTTACCTTAAATTATCATGATGACCCAGCCGAGCTATATAGTTCCTGCGAGTCAAACCACATGCTAGGTAGGTTGGTCGGAGAATCGTTAAACTAAAAAACAACAGATTAACATCTACACACTAAGCAGTAGTAGTACTGATTACATTAGGGTGTCAAGACAGTAAGATATTTACTTAAAACAGGCGTCATCTATGGAAATGCTACATTGTCAGGGCAGAAACAAAGGATTGTAAAAGATCGGCCGTAAGAGAAGCAAGGCTCATCTTGACCCACGGATTGCCTTTACCAGTAGTAAAGCAATTAAAGTAAAGAACTAACGCTTGAAGTATCATCAGTCACAAACAATTGTCCATTTTGGCTCAGAGGTCATCAAGACATTTACTACTAATCCAGTTTCGTTTTCGGATCTCTTAATATAAATTATAGTTTCAATCAAAGCAAGGATAACCAAAAAGTGACAAACGCCCCCCTACAGTTCCAGCATCTCTCGAGATTACAATTGTTTAATGAGTGGTACATGTTTACAATCATTTCAAAAAAAGGATATGATAATTTTCATAAAAGTGATCCATATATTTTACGCGACACTTTTACATCAGATAGAATTAACCAGCAGTTTGTAAATTTTTAATCGAAATTTCTGTTTATCAACTGTTTAGATTAATTCCTTAAGGTTGTTCTTGTAAAATGATCGAATTGTTTCTTCCAAAGATGAAGCGTTTAATTTTAAACATGTCTGATTATAAATCAAACAAAGCTTTATTAGATCGTTGTGTAAATTTTACCTGAAAACTTGATTTTCCTTAGTTAACAGACATACAAACATCCTGGCGTAAAACGTCTTGTAGATTATGTGAATAATTTTGTTACATATAACTAATTCTTATTAAATTGTGCGCTCATGTCAAAGTTTAACCAAAGAGATTAAAATTGTACGTTAAAGTAAAAAAAAAAAAGAGAAATGATTATTTAATGCACTTTTTGAAAAATGTCTCACTGACTTAAAGTTATTTGAGAGAAGATTAGATTAGTACTGTATAGCAACAACAAAACTCATAACATCATGAATAAATAGCGTTTATAGAAATAACTGATGAAGTGTTGAAACTTCATCAGTTAAGGTGGTTGGGACATGTTACGTATGCCCGACCACGTCAAGACAGTCTGACGAGCTATGTTTTGTGGTGTAGGAGTGGGTTGGAAGAAAGCTAGGGGCGGCCTAACCAAAACATGGCACAAATCCATGAAGTTACTGATAAGTAGACTGAGTCATGTTGGTAGGTGGAGATTACTTGGTTGGGGTCCGCAAGACGAAAGTCACCAATGGTTAGAGACCTTGAACGACATGGCTCAAAATCGTTTGCAATCGCGCAAGTGCATCCATTTGTTGTGTTCTCTCGAATCCTAAACTTCTGAATTCCTCATCATCCTTATCTCTCTCTTTTTACATTTATCTCACTGGATTATACTTCTTGAATAATATCTTCGAACCCTAACCTTCTCCATTACCGCTAATACTACTACTATCTCTACCACTAAGGGATTTGAATTGACAATTGCGTCTCTGTACTAATATGGTGTAGCAACGTGAACTGATGTACTTACGTACGAAGTTCTACGTTGTAACATACTGACTTACGAAAAAATAAATGTGAATTTGAAATTTAAAATAGATGTTTCAAGTGTTCTTCAGGTATCATAATTCATTACTGGATTGAACGAACCAAACCAAATAATGGAATCAATTCATAACTTTAAGACTGAGCTGTGTAAAAAGATTCACACCAACTAGTTAAGGTCCACATGATTATCTTAAGCAACGACTGAAGACGTGGGAGGTCATAAGTTAGAATCAGTTGCAATGTAGCAGAAGTGTTCCCTGCATCTTAAAGTCCATATATAATACAATCAGTCATATAGTCAATGCTTAGTCTTTCTTACTCGCCCATAATTTTACTCAGACTGATAGATATGAAGAACCAACCTTTATTTTGTTTACTTAAGCAGCAACCACACTATATTGATTTTCACATACATACTTTCCTTTGATTGCCTTCCGATTAAATTGAATCACGGTTGTTACAACACCACTTGTCATGCATTTATGAAAGAATATCTCTTCAAATTGTTTATAATTTCTAAAACGCTAATTTAGAGTCTTTTTATGTTTAGTTCAAATTACTACCGTAGACCTTAATAGTGTTCAACATGCTTTAACCAATCTATCAAAGCGACACAGAGCTTGATACGAATATGGAGAAATCCAAGTCAGATTTTAGATCGATGATAAACTGTTTCAGTCACTGATCCGTTACACCTAATGAAACTTCCACAGTAAATAAATTTATCATCATAAACAAAACAAATAAATTTTACCTGGCCGAATAGGACTAATGAGAATGATTGGGGGACACAGTAGATTTTATCTAAACTCAGTTAGAAATACTTGGTTAAGTTTCAAGCTGTTTCAACTTCAGTTAAAAGTTAAAACACGAGTTAATAAATCGTTCCAATAGAAAACACAATGGTCACAACTTTTAAAATTCCGTTTTACTCGCTATCTAAAAACCAACCAATCTATGTTATATGTTTGTTTATCTCGCCTCTTGAGAATCATTCACGAATACAAATGATGGATATCCGGTTAGCGAAAGTTCACAAACATCCTAAGACTATGATTATCTAGTTCAACACTGATAGATAAAAGAAATTCTAATTAAAATATCCACACGGTCCTACTAATAACTAAATTCTATAGGGAGGAACGAATAATTATTTTTTGCCCTGTGACCTCTTGGTTGGATATTTTGTAAATAAACAAACAATCATATAAATTTTGAAATGTAAATCATCATAAAATCGACCGATGATTGTCTTATACAATCAGTATTGAAAGCAAAGCTGTCAATTGGATCAGGCAATTTATTGTAATAGTTTTCACCGACCAATCCAACAGGTTTACAATTTCACGAACAGTAATTCAATAGTATAGAAAAAATCGAACTCAAATCAAACGAAGTGTCTGATTAAGAAAAACAGGATTTTATGAATGAATTAACAATAGTTAGAGAATGTCAATCGATAAATGATATGAAACGATACAAAATCGTCCAATGATAGTTTCCTAACGAAATCGAATAATTGACGTAAGCCTCTAAATTGAACGGGTATCAGGAGAAAAAAACAGATGTTGCGTACAACCGGCTTCTTTTGAGTAGAATTGTATGCTTATAAATGAAGTACTGACAAAGAATATGATTAAATGTCACAGGCGATTTAAGAAAATTAATTTTAAAAGTTGTTCTCTTTTTTAATTGAATTAAGACCGTGTTCCTCGTAATCTACATTGTATCATGAGTTGAAAAGCACACCGACATTGTAAAAAAAAATGTATAAAATATGATAAATCAGCTTGCATTTATGGTATCACTATGATTCGATTTGGAGAAATTTACAGCTGAAATTTACTAGAAACTACTACTGTAGTGAAAGGGAACACATGTGAGGGCAACCGAATTGTATTTAACGAAAATTACAGAGTTACTCAGTAAAATAGGAAAACCATATTGTAAACGGTTAATTTGAAAATCTTCAATCCATTGTCTGACATTTCAATATTCATGCGTTTCATACAAATTCCATTGTGTTCCCACTCTTCCTTTCTTCTTGATCTTTCCCCCATCTTCTGCTGCCAGACATTACGTTTACACTCGCGTCATATACTACTTATAAGTAGCGCGCACCACACTACTACTACTAAATAATCCTAATTCATCGACATTGTATTCGATCAACAAATATACAACACAAAAATAAATAGGATTTTAAATTTATTTTAAGAAAAAACTCAAAAAAAGTTATCGTCTTCAATATTTTATATATTTTAGAACAAATGAACACAAAGTGATATTGTCAAATAATGAAAATTTGAGCCAAAGTGTAGCTCTTTTAACCTCAAAATGAGTTTTCGAAACTTATGATTTTTATCCAGAAGAGAAACAAAAGGAGAAAATGTTATACGTTAAGAAGCAGTAAATAACTATAACACTGTACATATAATAGTAATAATACTAATATATATATATATATATATATATATATATATATATATATATATAGATGAGTAATAAATCTTGCTCTAAAAAATTTGGATAGACTATTGAATTTCGTTTAAAACGCTTCGCATCAAATGTTTTTTATAAGAAAAAATATCACCTTCCCAAGGAGTTATAGTGCCATTTTCACATACCCAAATTTCTTTTGCAACCTAGTGAAATTAAAAGAAACAGAAAAAGTTTGAAACGATTTTTCTTTTTTTGATGAAGTAAAGTTTAATAGGTGTCAGTCAAAAAAACTATTTGAAATCAATATATAGAACAATATCACATTATACTCATAGTGATTATTTAAAATGTAAAAAGAATTATGATTCGTAGAAGACTTTATTTATTAAATTTTTATGCGAACTGTGTACAGTTACGAAGATAGCCAAAAATGTCGGTTCGCTATGTAGACGACACATTCGTTATTATCAAAAGGAATGAGCTGAAGAACACCTACAATCGGATCAACAACGTCTTCGATGACATCAAATTCACGATGGAAAAGGAATCAAACAACAGCCTATCATTCCTAGATGTACTAATCACCAGGACTAACACAGAAAAACTAGAAACTCAAGTATTTCGGAAGCCTACCCACACAGACGTAATTCTCAACTACGACAGCAACAACCCAAGAACCCACAAGATCAACTGCGTACAAACTTTGTTCAAGAGAGCGAAGACACACTGC